TTGGCCAGGCAGCCGCAACGGACGTCGTATCGCTCGACCACGTCGGCCCCGTCCACGTAGGCGGCGTGAGCTGGAACGTCCTTGTGATAATTGATCACGCAACACGGTACGCGCTAGCGAGGGCAGTCTCGAGCCTCGAGGCAGCTCAGACCCTCCGCACATTCTATCACTACTGGGTCGTGGCGTTTGGAACGCCGAGAGCGGTGCTCACCGACTGCGGCTCCAGCTTCAAGGGCGCGTTCCACACAACCGTGACCAAACATGTAGGTTGCCGACATCTAGTAACCGCCCCGTACCGTCCCCAGGGGAACGGCATCAACGAGGCCTCGCACGTCGAGCTAAAGAATGTGCTGCACGCAATGTGGCAAGAAGGGCAGAGAGATGTAGGGAAGATGCTGGACTCAGCCACCCGCCTCCACAACATCACGCCGCACTCAGCGATAGGTATCTCACCATACGAGGCGTTGTTCGGTAAACCCCCAGTGCTCGACGCCCTGCAAGAGATGACACCGTCAATGACAGAGGGGGAGCGCAGAGAGAATCACAACATGCGGCTCCGGTAGAGGAGAAGAGTACGTACAAGCGCCCCAGGATCTATATTGACCCAGAGACCCGCGAAGGTCTGGAGCACTTCCTGGGGATTTCAGCGGTCCCGTATTGAGCCAGGAGGGGGGTTGGTGCGTCGAGACGTAACAGCTCAATGACGGGCCGGCAACGGGGTTTTTGATATAAGGGAGACAGAGGGTAGCATGGCGACACACACTCCTGACGCGATACCCCTATTCCGCGACTCAGACGACGAGCTCAGCATTAGCAGGCCGTCCCCCAGCACCCAACGGGACACACCAACAGCCATTACATTCTGTCTCCGACACACAAACCGATACGTCACTATTGTGTCGTACTGGTCCGCTGCTGGCGTGGTACTGGCTACGTCTTAGGAAGAGTCCTGTGTGTTGATTCTGGTAAGTTGCATTGCTGCGGTTACTGACTGCTGTCTTCGCCCGCTAACATACCAGTTATCTATCTGGAGTGGGCTCGGTATCGGTGTTTCGGTCTGGCAGGATACCGGTTGAGCTATCTGCGAGGTCGTAGTCGGATGTTTCTTTTTGGCTCATAGTGAGTGTTGGTGATTTTTTGGGTTCGTACAGTAAGTTAAAAAATGACCTGAATACGATAACCGCCATCGGGTTAATGGACACCATATAAGCCGGAACCTGTATCAGTCAGCTCCACCAAAACGAAACTCATGATCATCGGAGTTGTGTGCTCAGACAGCCAGGTTAATTGTGGTGACTCATGCAGTGGTGACTGATGCAGATCAGAGCCCGCGACGAGCCCCTGATTTATCACATCAAACGCAACACACTTCTCTGAGACGTTATCTACGTTGTCAAGCATGTTGTATTCAAGTAGAACGTCATCTCAAGTAGTCGGTTTTTTTTTCCTTTTACGTGAAGTAGCGGCAGATGTAAAAGGACCGGGCATTGTAGGATATAGCGAATACTGAGCTCCTGATACCCGGCTTTGCTCAGTCAGTCTATGCAGAAGTACCCGTTCAAATTCCCATCGGTCCAGACCATTTGGATCCAGTTTGACCTCCTTAACTCGCTGGTTCCACCAGTAAGCCATTCTTTTTTCCATTGCTCTAGAACTACAACGGAACACCGTTGGATCGCACTCCCATGGGGACAAATTGTACCTCTTGCTATTTCGGTGTGTGGGAAGTGCAAACCCGACACTATTAGCAATCTCGTCCACATGGTCCCTGTAGGTCACATGGTCCCTGTAGGTTACATGGTCCCTGTAGGTGTCTCTACTGTTGAAAATGTTCATGTTTCTTTTACCACACAAATGTCTTGAACGTAGCCATTCCCAAAATTCCACTTGGTCCCAAGGACTTTCACACCTTTCGCATCCTTTTCCATCCCGATGACTTATGCCAGTTTCTGTGCAAGAGTAACAGGAGGCTGACAGAGTAAACACTTGGTTCCAAATTCTCTCGACCGCCTTGGCTAAACCAAATACTGACAGCCCGATCGGATCTATATCCTTGGTCACCGTATTCCACCAGCCATGGAAATTCACGTCATAGGCCCACACCAAACATGGTGGGCTGACCCGAAGCTCTGCCTCGTCTGCCGTCGCTATCTGAAACTTGTGTCCCCTACGACCGACTAAGAATGGCGGTATCGTGTCACCGACAACTTCGCCTCGAAGCTGTATTGCCTTACGTCTCCTCTGCTCCCTCCGAATCGCCTTTGGAACTTCTCTTAACGGCACTCCCAGTGATCCCGCCTTGTTTAAAAGCAGCCCATCCAACTCCCAATCGAATAGATCGTGTTCCTGAGAAGAAACGAAAAATTGACCACGACGCTTCCACCAAGTACGCATGCGCGTTGAGAGCGATCCAGCGAAAAATTTAGACATGGGCCAACACTGCAATATGTCCTCTATGGCCTCATTCACCTTATCCAATGCAATCTTGTGCTTGTACAGCTGCCGCCGACACGTTCCAGCTCGACAATACTCCGCGTCCAGTACCCCACAGTTCAGTCGTTGTTGAAACTCTTCACTGTTCCACTCACCCCACTCCAATGCGTAGCGGCTTGCTGCCAACATAAAATTGATCTCCTCCGCATTCTCCGCTTCCACGGCCTTTTTGGCCAGTCCGAAAACCGTCAAATTCGTAATGTCGAATGGCACCAAATTCCTCCAGTCCTTACTGAGCACATCGTAAGCCCACTTCAAATGTTTTGCGGGCAGTCGTAAACCCCTTTCGGACTTGGCGACGACTTCATATGAAGGAATAGGCCTGTCAGTGAGTAAGCATTCAGTCTTCACCCTTACCTGACGGCTCTCCCCATCATCGATCACTTCAACAGAAATTTCTTCAAGAGGAACACATTCATCATCAGGCCTCAAATATATTAACAGGTCATCAAAGGAAGCTTCACCGAATAAAACATCGTCAAGAGAAATGCTACCGAGATCCTCCAGCGAGACAGCTGTGCTGTTCATACAGACATGGCCGCCCGTGATGTCTTGAACTCTACCGCAACCGGTCGATACACGCAAACCTTGACAACCTAAGCCATGGCCATTGTTCATGCCCAAAACAGTCGTCGCTAGACTCGTAGCAGACACTGCAGGGGACTTGAAACCCCGTATTTTATTTTACCCGTGGTAATTCTTGATCACATTTTACAGTGAACAACCCCTAAACAACCTCGTCACAGTGAAAAGCCGCACAACTTCGCTTCATGAACAATCGATAGTAACCCCAAGGTCTATTTCAACAACTAAAACACCAAAAAAGAAAATTCTTAAAGCGAGATCATCTAGTTGCCGATGATTTAGTCCCCCATTATTGCTGCCTTGCATGAAAGATATCTAGTTCCCGATTCCCGGTCAAGTTCAGCCAGTCGGTGCAGAAGCACTCGCTCAAACTCCCATCGACCAAGAGTATCTGGGCTCTCTTGGGCATGATTGGTTTGCGCACCCCACCAAGCGGTCATTCTTCGTTGCATAGTTTGAGAGCTATTGGACAACACCCCCGGGTCGCACTCCCATGGTGACACAGCATACCGCCTGCCTTGTCTGTGTGGCGGTGCAAAGCCGACACCATTAACAATCTCATCCACAAGGTGTCTGAAGGTTGGCACACCGCCGCAGTCAAGCTTGATCTCACAAAAATGTCTTGAACGTAACCATTCCCAAAACTCCACAAGGTCCCAAGGGCTCTCGCATCTCTCACATCCGTTTCCATCACGATGACTTATATTGATTTCAGCACACGAATAACAGTTGCCTGATAATGTAAACACCTGTTTCCGAATTCTCTCGACCGCCTTGGCTAAACCGAAGACTGACAGCCCGATGGGATCTATACCTTTGGGTACCGTGTTCCACCAGCCATAATTTTTAACGTCGTAGGCCCATACCAAACACGACGGGCTGACCCGGTGTCCTGCCTCATCTACCGTCGCTATCTGAAACTTGTCTCCCCAACGATTGATTAGGAATTCAGGAATACTGTCATTCACAGCCTCACCCTGGAGCTCCGCTGCCTCACGTATTCGTCGCCTCCGCTGCTCCCTCCGAATCGCCTTTGGAACTTCTGTCAAAGGTACCTTCAAAGATCCCGCCTTTTGTAAAACAAGCCATTCAAGTATATGAGGATTCTTTATCGAAAGGGAATATGACCGGCTACAGGTCCTCCACCAGGTGCTCATGCGGCCGGCGAGCATTCCCCTAAAGGATCCAGACATCGGCCAACGTTGCAATACCTCCTGTATTGCATCATCCAATGGGCTATTCGGTAGGTTTTCCTCCCAGATACGTCTTGCAGAAACCTCCATACTGAAGTAACCAAATTTCAGCAGTTTCTGAAAGTCTTCATTGTTCCACCAATCCCGCTCCACCGCATATCGTCTTGCTGTTAAGATAAAATTAATCTCTTCCGTATCCTTCCATTTCATGGCCTTCTTGGCCAGTCCGAAAACCGTCAGTCCCGTAATGTCGAAGGGTACTAAAGCCTTCCAGCCCTTACTGAGTACGTCGTAAGCCCATTTCAAATATTTTGCAGGTAGTTGCAAACCCTTCTTGTTGGGGATCGCGACTTCAAATGAAGGAATGGGCCTGCCATCGAGCACGGATTCGGTCTTCATCCCTACCGCAGGACTCGCTCCTTCCAGAAGACAGTCGATTGCATCAAGAGGAACATATTCATCATCGGGTCTCAAATATATTAACAGGTCATCAAAGGAAGCTTCGCCGAACAAAACATCGTCAAGAGAAATGCCACCGAGATCCTCCACCGAGATAGCTGTCGTGTTCACGACATGGTCCGTGATATTGGTAGCACTGAGAAACTTTGAACTTGTATACGAAGGTTCGAGGAAACTTGCTGATGTTTGCAACCCTCTTTTTGACAGGTCTGATTCTTGTGAACCCAAATCATTGTCCATACTCAAGACCATAGCCGCTAAACCGGTGGGAGAGGTTATGGTGGGCCAGCAGCACCTCATTCTATATTCGAATTGTGTTGATGCATCAACAAAAAAAGAGTGTAGCCAAAAAAGGTTATTCAAAAAGTGTACACACACCTTAGCCAGCCGCACCGAGAAAGGTCTCTGGCATTGTACCGTCTGACGAATACGGAGTGGTCATGTGTTGGAATGATGTAGCGGACATAACTAATTTTTGGAGTTAACTTTGTGATGCAAGATACTTCGTCCCCGATTGCCGATCAAGTTCAGCTAGTCTGTACAAGAAGACTCGTTCGCACTCCCATCGATCCAAACCTTCGGAGTCCAAACCTTCGGAGTCCAGACCTTCGGAATCCAGACCTTCGGAGTCCAGACCTTCGGAACCCAGACCTTCGGAACCCTGACCATTTATGTTTCTGGTTTCCTCAGTCCGGCCCTTAGTTTTGTGTATTGTGTGGCACCACCAAACCCGCATTCTTCTTGCCATAGTCTGAGAACGATTGTAGAAGATTGTTGGGGCACAGTCCCATGGCGACACAACATACCTCACACCTCTTCCTTTTCTGCGAGACAACGCAAAGCCGATACTATTAACTATCTCATTTACAAGGTATCTAAAAGTAGGCACGCCGCCACTATAGTCGAGCTTGACATCAGAGAAATGTCTTGAAACCAGCCACTCCCAAAACTCTACTAGGTCCCAGGCGCCTTCGCATCTCTCACATCCGTTTCCGTCCCGGTGTTGTCTCTCATCTTCTGAGCATGAATAACAGTAGGCTGACAAGGTATACGCTTGGCTCCGAATTCCCTCGACGGCCTTGGCTAAGCCGAAGACTGACAGCCGGATCGGATCTATACCTTTGGGTACCGTCTTCCACCAGCCATATTTTTTAACGTCGTAGGCCCATACCAAGCACGACGGGCTAATCCGGAGTTTTGCCTCATCTACCGTGGCAATTTGAAACTTGTCTCCCCAACGATCGGCCAAGACTAATGGAATGGTGTGATTTATTTATAGCTTCGCCTCGAAGTCGTGCTGCCTCACGTATTCGTCGCCTCCGTTGTTCCCTCCGGATCGCTTTTGGAACTTCTCTCAACGGTACCCTCAGAGATCCCGCCTTCTTCAGAACCAGCCAATCCAGCTCATGGCAGGTAATGTACGGCTCCTTCGAACAAGGCCGAACGAACGGTCCACGAGTCGCCCACCAGGCAAGCATTCGGGATGCGAACGATCCCCTGAAAGACCTAGACATTGGCCAACGCTGCAAGATCTCCTCAACTGAATCATTCACTCTTTTCAATGCAATCCTGCGTGTGGAATTCTTCACAAAAATATCCCGATTCAAATAACCTGATTTAACCATTTTCTGAAATCCTTCATTTTCACTCCTTTGAGATGGACACTGAATCATATAACGACTTGCTGGTAATATGAAATTTATATCTTCCATATTCTCACAATCCATAGCATTTTTAGCCACACCAAAAACCGTCAATCCCGTAATGTCGAATGGAACCAAAGCTCTCCAATCTTTCCATAATACATCATAAGCCCATTTCACCAGTCTTATCGGTATTTGCAAGTCCTTCTCATTTGGGGCGATAACTACACAGGGAGGAAGAGCACACGTTTCCTCTTCCGCAAGACTACCCTCTTCCGCAAGACTACCCCCTTCCGCATTACTACCCCCTTCCGCATTACTACCCCCTTCCGCACGACTCCCCAGTTTTAGAAGACCGTCGATTGCGTCAAGGGAAACAGCTTCATCGTGATGCCTCAAATACACGAACAAATCATCAAAGGAGGAAGCTTCACCGAACAGACAATCTTGTATCGAAACGTTACCGAGATCGTTACCGAAATCATTCAACGAAATAGCTGTACTGTCCGCGCTAACATGGTCAGGGATACGTTTAGCTATACCGCCGCCAGAGGTACCACCAGAGGTACCACCAGAGGTACCACTGAAGGACTTGGATCCAGCAATGTTCGCTCCCCGTCCCTCGAAGAAACCTTCTGGTGATTCCATTCGCATTCTTTTTGGCGCTGGCACGTCTAAGTCTTGTAAGCCAAGGCCGTTGCCCACCTTCAAGACTATCGTCGCTACGCTTATGGGAGAGACTCCGGACGATCGGCAACCTCGCATCTGATTTTTCCCCCTCGAAAATCTCTCTCTCTCCGGGTGTCCAGGCAGGGTCTTACCACTCAGGAGATGAACGCGGATCGTGTTCAATATATCCCCAAGGGAATCAACCCACTTCGTCACGCAAATGTCTGTGAGAAAGGACCGCGCATACCTCGTAGAAAAGTCTGCTCAGAAATATATTTGACCGTCCACAGGCCGAAGGACTGCTTGGGGAAGGTTGAGTTACTTAGCTCTGCGAATACTGGGTATTTCCGCTTATACGACATGGGACATCACGTCGCACACAGAGCGCCGGAGTCGCACACAGGGTGTCGGAGTCGCACACAGGGTGTCCGTCGCACACAGAGGTCGGAGTCGCACACAGGGTGTCGGAGTCGCACACAGGGTGTCCGTCGCACACAGAGTGTCGGAGTCGCACGGTGCCAGATCCGCGAAATAAACTTGTTCCGGGTTCGCTGCTTCTTCCCACAGAAAAGATCCGGCGAGCCCATGGCTTCAGTCAGCGCCACGTTAATTACTGAAACTCTCGAGCCGAAAGATAGTCCGTCCCCGATTGCCGGTCAAGTTCAGCTAATCTGTACAGGAGGATTCGTTCGAATTCCCACCGGCATAGACCATCAGAGCTTTGGTCGGCTGCCCGGGTAGTCCAACTCCACCAGTTAACAATCCGTCTATTCACAGTTTGAGAACTTACGCAGAATAACGTTGGATCGCACTCCCACGGCGAGCTAACACGCCGAGCACCGTTTCTGCCCGGCGGTGCAAAGCCGATACTATTAACAATCTCATCCGCAAGGTCCCTAAATGTTGGCACGCCGTCACTGTGAAAACTGCGTGTCTCACAAAAATGTCTTGAACGCAGCCATTCCCAAAACTCCTCAAGATCCCAGGGGCTTTCGCATCTCTCACATCCTCTTCCACCACGATGTTTTACATCGTCTTCTGTGCACGAATAACAGGAAGCTGACAAGGTATGCGCTTGGCTTCGAATTCCCTCGACTGCTATGGCCAAACCGAAAACCGACAACCGGACCGGATCTATACCTTTAGGCACCGTCTTCCACCAGCCATATTTTTTAACGTCGTAGGCCCATACCAAACACGACGGGCTAACCCGGAGTCTTGCCTCATCTACCGTCGCAATTTGAAACTTGTCTCCCCAACGATCGACCAAGACCAATGGAATGGTGTGATTTATAGCCTCGCCTCGAAGTCGTGTTGCCTCATGTATTCGTCGCCTCCGTTGTTCCCTCCGGATCGCTTTTGGAACTTCTCTCAACGGCACCCTCAGAGATCCCGCCTTCTTTAAAAGCATCGACTCCAACTTGCGATCGGTGATACACGGCTCATTTGAAGCAGGGGAAAAGAACCGGCCACGGTTCCGAAACCAGACCCTCATTCGGCTGGTGATCGATCCCACAAGGGAAGACATCGGCCAACGCAGCAATAACTCCTCCACAACATCATCCACCCTTTCCGGTGCAATCCTGTGAACGGTTTCCTCCCTTAAAACCTCTGTGTTGAAATATCCTGAATTCAACCTCGCTTGAAGCTCCCTACTGTCCCACTCACCCCGCTCCAATGTGTAACGTCTTGTTGTCAGCATAAAATTAACCTCTTCGTTACCCTCACATTCCTTGATCTTTTTGGCCAGTCCAAAAACTGTCAGTCCCGCAATGTCGAATGGCACCAAATGCCTCCAGTCCTCCTCGAGTATGTCGTAAGCCAGCTTCCAATATTTTGCGGGCAGCCTTAAGCCCTGCTCGCATGGGGCGCGACTTCAAATGAAGGATAGGCCTGTCAGTGAGAACATCTTCTGGTCTTAC